GTAGAGGGCCATCCGTTTTTGCTCACGGCGCCCCCTCTCCACCTCCAAAACAAGGGTCTAAAAAGAAAAGCAGAATTAAGCACGGCTCAAGTCAGTCTTACAACACGCAGAAGGGAGAAAGGAAATAAGGATTACCTGCAAAGCCATGCCGGAAACCCTTCGTGATAGCTCCGCATCCTCCACAGTACTGAGCGTCTTGCTCTCGGAGGCGGCACACAGCAGGGTAAGGGCCGAAGCAGCCTGCTCGCTGTTCAAAAGCAAGTTGTAAGCCGCCGAAATCGTAATACGACGGTTGGACCCATCCGTCATCATCTCCACGTGGGTAAGGCCACCCACAAACTCGTCAACATCCTCCTGAGCGATGTCAGAGTCCGATTTCTCCGCTTCCTCGCCAGGTCCTTCGATGTTGGTCGATGACCCTCCCTCAACGGCACACGCGGAACTAGCACCGGGAACGACACTCCTCTGTTGAGTCGACCTCCCAGATAGAATGGTGTCGGCCATGAATGGTCTGTGCGTCGGCCGAGGCACCTCACTTCCTTCGGCTTCGGTGTCCCCCTTGCCCTTCTCGAGCCTCCTCCATTTTCTTTCTAACGATTCCTCACCATCGGAAGGTTCATCCACGGGTTGTAGAGCCGGCGCCAGCGATGCCGACTCCCACATAACCATGGTCGTAGATGCAGCCCCCTGTAAAGGAGCTGGAGGGAGATCCTCTCGGACATACTCGATCAGTATATCATGAGCGTCCGAGGCAACGTCGGATCGCTTGAGAGCGGGGACTGGGGCCCTCTTCCTAGAAGCGCCTCGAGCTGTCGCCATAAAAATAAGTGAGCAGGGTTGCAGAATTTACAAAGCAAAAATCGGAAATCTACCTGAAGAGACTTTGGGGCCATAACGCTAGGCAGGCCAAGTGCGGGTCTCTTTTGCGTAGGGAAGCAAGCCAGCAACCCATCTCCTAAGGTTGGCAACAGGCCGGGGCGGATGAACCATAGCTGCAATACAAAGGTTAGAATTGTGACAGTCACGAGTAACACGGAATTTGACAAACTGCAAATACTTACGTTTCGAGTTCCACCTCTCTGGGAATCCGGCAGGATTAGAGACCATGTGCTCGGTCCTAATGAAAAAATATTTGCGCCAGAACCCACGACTCGCTCGGTCGTCGGTTTTGACCACCAATCCTTTCGTACCACGGCCTCTCAAATGCACCATGGTCCCTCTTAGATAGCAGGCACTGAATAGTTGTAGGAGGTGATGGATCGTGACTTCACATCTGGCCAACTCCGCGTACTTGGTAAGCAGCCGAAGCACCTTCAGAGTATACGGCGTAAGTTGAGCCGGACACACATTATAGAACCGAGAGAATTCCTCCGCCAAAGGGAAAAGAGGGAGGCTGTAACCAATCGAAAAGGGGTATTCATAAAAGGTACAATACCCTGGCCTATGAACATCCACGTGATCCCTCCCCGCCGGAACCATCTCTACGTGGGCAGGTATGCCGTATTTCACGCGGAGGTCATCCAAGTAATTTTGTAATGACTCGGAAAACTCTGGAGCCGGAATGGGAGAGTCCTTACCGAAATCACTTCGAGATAAGGTATGCTTTGGCAATAATGCTTCCACAATAAGAGGACTGATGTCCTCTTCCTCCTCCACCTCTCCACCATCGGAAGGTGGCGGCACGTTCAATGGGGCAGCCGCCGGGACCCTCTGGTCGCTTCGGCGAGGTTTAGGCATGATCTCTGTGAAGAAAAAGTTGTGCACAACCCAACAAAGAAAAAGGAGATTTTCGATCGAAGGAAAATGCACCAGAATGTGAAAATATACACTGAAGGGTTGGAATGTTCTTACAAATGACCAAAGTTTGAATCAGGTTAAACCCTTCTCCTATTTATAGGGTTGGGTGGCGCCAGAATCGAAGAGGCATACGTCGAATCGGCGCGGGAAACCAAGCGCCAAAAGCTTCTGATTTCCTGCCTCGAGAATACGCGCAATGATGACGCATACGAACGCTGACGTCACATGGGGAAAGGCGTTTCGCTTCGACGCTCTGACAGTCATGATTACTGTCTCCTGCCTGTCATGTCACAATTCTTTGACAAAGTCAAACTCTCCCAGAACGGAGGTATCGATTCCGCCCATCGAGGACGCATCTCGCTGCGACCCCGACGAGCGGAGGGACTAACTGTATGGGGTCAAATTTGACCGACCACGTCCCTAAGCCAGCACGACCGACCGAATATATGTGAGTCCGGCTAGAAGGACGACTTAGGAATAATAAGAGGGACGACTTCATGATCACGTCGGCCCCTCTATAGCATGTACTTTATATTTCCGTCTTTTAATATTTAAGTAAGGATCCTCTATTATATAAAGGGGTGTCCGAGCCTTGTAAATGGGGGGATTCATTATTGGAAATACAGGCTCTCTGGCTCTCTCATCTCTCTAACATTCTCTCTCTTATCTCTCGAAGATTACCACCTTCTCTCTCTCCGATTTATATTATTGTTATCTGAACCAATTGCCAAGATCATCATAGGGTTTATTATCTTCGATTACGATTTACCCCTTCATCTATATTGATTGATTTGCTTAAAAAATGTTAAACAACTTTTGAGTCAAACACTAATTGTGTAGTAGCGTATTAAGTTTTGAAAAGAGAAACGCATGCCCCATTATTTACGTGAACTTGAAACAGTATTTTGTTTACCCATCGCATCAATTTAAGGGGCAATCAAGTAGAAAGAGTGCTGCAGAAAGATAACGATTTGCACATTTTTGTACCGCATAAGAAGGACAATATCACGGGTGTTTACAGCAATCCACAAATTTAAGGACGCATATTTTTTCATCTATATATATATATATATATATAGATGAAAATATATATATATATATATTGTTTACTTAATCATAGTTAGATAATATATATTCCCACTTTAATTTAGAGAAACTACAAAAATTAAATTATTTAATTTGATGTTCATATCGAAGCGAGTAAAAGTTAACCAAAACATCATTTATGTCTATCCTCGACTTATTTACAAAATATTTTTTAAGTGTTTTCCTAAATAATAGTCCTTTAAATTGATTGAGCGTGTTGCATCCCAAATTAAATCTAATAAATGTATCTACTTAGTCCTTACTAATACATTAAATTTTTAAATAAAGTTATCCGACAATTCAACAGTTTCAATATATAATTACTGGAAACAAGAAAAATGAAGGTATTCAGAGCCTTCTATTCAATCCCTTTTACTTTATACCCGCTGCAAATTTGAGTCCGGAAACAAAATGACGTCATTTGCCAATTTTTGACGTCATTTTGGTTCCTGACTCCTGCAAATTTTGACACATTTGAATTTTGATCAACAAAATTGCAGCGCACCAGAACCAAAACAGCAAACCATCGCTGGCGCGCGAAGGCGCGAAACATACTATCAACTCTTTCTCCTTCAGCTAAAAAAAAAAAACAAAAAAAACAAAAAAAACAAAAGAAACACAACTCAATATAAGAAATCTTTTAAAAAAACAAAAAGCACCTGTGACACACGCTGGCTCGTCTCTCTCTCGCTCTTTAACTCTCCTATTTCTCTCTCTAGAAATTTTGAGGCGCATGACTTTTGTAGTGAGTCTTGTTCGTCACACTCTTCCTTCAGTCCATGGCTAAAACTCGCGCCAATCGTCGAACCCTAGATTTTTACACGGTTAAATCCATCAACAAAACCGTCCGAGGTAAGTTCAATTCCACATACTTCTCCCAATTTTCCTACAAAATATGCAAAAAATTTCGCCGGAAAATCTAACTTGCGCCACCTGTCACCGTTTCCTCAGCCGGAGACTGCGTGTTGATGCGACCGTCGGAGTCGTCAAAGCCGTCGTACGTAGCTCGAGTTGAGACGATTGAGTCGGACAGCAGAGGCGGCAACGTCAGGGTTCGCGTCCGGTGGTACTACCGGCCGGAGGAGTCGATCGGCGGTCGACGTCAATTTCACGGCTCAAAGGAACTGTTCCTGTCCGATCACTACGATACACAAAGCGCCGACACAATTGAAGGCAAGTGTACGGTCCACACATTCAAGAGCTACACAAAACTCGACGCCGTTGGCAACGAAGATTTCTTTTGCCGATTCGAGTACAATTCTTCTACTGGAGCGTTTAATCCCGACAGAGTTGCCGTGTATGTTTAAAACTTGATGAAAATCCTGGCTTTTTTGCTTACAGTAGGACATTATCTATTTAATTACACTTAAAGTTGGTTATTATAGTAACTTGACCTCATTTTTCGCTATTGAATAAAACTATCTGGCTACAACACCTAGCTATGTGGTCTTATTACAACTGCAAAAAATTATTTACACAATCAGGTCAAATATTATGTTATTGTGACGTTTCTGCTAACTGTTTCAATTTGATTACATCTAAATGTGGTTATAATAGTGATTTTACCTCATTTTTCGCAATTGCATAAAAATATCCGGCTACAATACCTAGCTATCTGGTACTATTATTTACACAATTAGCTCACTTATTAGGTAATTCCATGTAAATCTCTTGATAAACGTTATTGGTAATCTGTCAAAGATGGTAAGTAACCAGCTGTCATAGGTTAAAATTCACCATTAGCGTGACTGGCAGTGTATATAACTTAAATCATTTGGAAATATGCCTTTTTCTGAACAAGTTCCACATATTTGAATTGATTATTAACCTGAATTTATTGGTTGAGTGTTCTCCTTGGTCCAAATTTTGCAGGTATTGTAAATGCGAGATGCCTTACAATCCGGATGACCTCATGGTTCAATGCGAGGGCTGCAGTGACTGGTAAGTCTGATTCTTTACATTTTTATTGTGGCAGGTTGTATTATAATATAATTTCATGTTTAGCTATCAGGTGCACTATGTTTCAAATCTTGTTAGATTTTAAAGTTTCTACTAAGAGGCAAACTAGTGCCATTATAGCAGCTGATAAACAGTACAGCTTGTGCATTAGTTTCCATTCTCAAAGCATATTCCTATGTTTTATTGCATAGTACCTCTTTTTTGGGGATAAGTCAAGATAGTGTGCAAAAGCTAACTCAAAAAGAAAAGTGGCAATTAGTTACTCCAGGATATGCGACTCAAGCCGTTCATGATTATCTGGAGTTGATGTATTTGTATTGTGTTTCAAATAATATTGTTCTTAGCAGAGTTACTTAGATATTTCCTGATGGAGGATCATGATTCCTTTTAACCCGTTATGTGCCGTCTGTTCAATGTTGGAAGCAAGTTTACCCACATATGTAAGGAGAGGTTTTCTCTTGTACATTCTGCGTTTGTGATTGAGTTGTAAGCAATCATCAGAGTTTAGTGAGCTTTCATGACACGAACAACGTAGATGACGTTGGTTTACTTCAAGAAGGTAGTGATTCCTTTAAGTTTTAACTAGGCTGTTAGCTCATGAAACCGGGAGAAAGCAACTCTCCCTTTCTTTTGGTTTATGAGCGTTTCTAGTTGCATGATGCAATGCAATTGATGTCCTATTTTGAAATGCTCTTCTCTTTCTCCTTCCTATTTGTGCCGGGAAAAAACTTTCCTTGAGGTGATAGTAGTAAGTGTTAGGTGTTTGCCATAATTTTCTTACTATATTTGGTTTTCTTATCTCTTGAAGGAAAAGGGCAATATAATTACCTTAATTAGAGGTTTTCCTTTTTGTAAAAGGAAATTATAAATTCTTCCATATTTGGCTAGTCCCTTTTCTTGTAGGAAAAGGTTTGGAGTTCTATAAATTGAAGATCCGTCCTCTCATTCAGTAGCATTCACAATGTAGCCATATGGGGCTTGAGAGTCGTGTTTAGGGGGAGAACTTTACGGGACAAGTGTTAGTGTGTCACTTGTGTTTGCCTCTTCGTGAGGTTGTTCTCTCGATATTTTGTACTCTCTTTTATAAAAAAGTGGATTGCTCATCTCCGCCGTGGACGTAGGTCAGTTGACCGAACCACGTTAAATATTTGTGTCTTTTGGTAGATTTCTCTCTTGTTGTCAGACTTATCGTTGTTCAAGGTTTGCTTTGCTAGATTCCGCATGACACTTGACTTTTTCGGTCCTAACAAGTGGTATCAGAGCGAGGTTCAAGACAAGTTCATCTTGGCGGGTTCAGTTCTAGCCGCGACATATTTGACGATAATCGTGATTTTTGTTTGAGAAATTTGACCGGTGTGCTACGCGCGTTGAGACAAACTTTGTGGCGGAGATTTGGAGATGCGACCTGTTGAAGGCTATGTGAAGAAGGTGGATCAAGTTTATTTTGTTAGAAAATTCAGGCCAAGGGGGAGAATTGTTAGGTGTTTGCCATAATTTTCTTACCATATTTGGTTTTCCCATCTCTTGAAGGAAAAGGGCAATATAATTACCTTAATTAGGTTTTCTTTTTTGTAAAAGGAAATTATAAATTCTTCTATATTTGGCTAGTCCCTTTTCTTGTAGGAAAAGGTTTGGAATTCTATAAATTGAAGATCCGTCCTCTCATTCAGTAGAATTCACAATGTAGCCATATAGGGCTTGAGAGTCGTGTTTAGGGGGAGAACTTTACGGGACAAGTGTTAGTGTGTCACTTGTGTTTGCCTCTTCGTGAGATTGTTCTCTCGATATTTTGTACTTTCTTTTATAAAAAGTGGATTGCTCATCTCCGCCGTGGACGTAGGTCAGTTGACCGAACCACGTTAAATATTTGTGTCTCTTTTGGTAGATTTCTCTCTTGTTGTCAGGCTTATCGTCGTTCAAGGTTTGCTTTGCTAGATTCCGCATGACACCTGACTTTTTCGGTCCTAACAATAAGTGCCCTGTTACATGGTCGTTAGATCTCTGTATTATCATTTGCGTTACTGGTGTATTTTTAATTATGTATGCTGATGTGTTATGCATATTTATATGGCTTGTGAGATTTGGATACTTAGTTTATGAAGTCTAATAATGGATGGACGATTTATATTGGTGATATTAAGGTACTTAGTAAAAAGAAGATATTGGTGATATTAAGTTGATACCATATTTGGAATCTGTAAGAGGCAGAGCAGAGCCCCACAAAACAACAAAAAGAACAAACAAACAAACAAAAATGTCGGGTGAAAATCAAAATTTGCATTTGATCTGATACACATCCCTCTTCCCAATCATAGTGCTGCCTGACACATCCCTCTTCCCAAATCATAGTGCTGCCTGGTCTTAAATGATCAGTTGCAAACTTCTTCGTTTCTTTTATTGGTAATTATTTTTGCTTACCAGATGAATGATTTTCATTCACTAATATAAGTGCTCATATGCATCTCTTATGGCTATGCAGCTATGATACTTGGTTCACTACTTGTATTGAACTTTTTTCTTCCTATCTATCCGCAAAATAGGTTGGGCCAATGACTGAACATAAGAAGAGTATCTTCATAATTCTCTGCTCGAAATGATATTATCAGTTCCAATGCAAAGATGGCATTATTTAAGCTTCTTACGTTGTCAAGCCTTTAATAATGCTAGGTATGTACCGGTCACAAAATAATTGTGGACCCAAAGTGACGTGGAAAATTGACAAAAGAACCATATTAGTATGTAAAAAAAAATAAGAGAACTATTCTACCTATAGCGCATAGAAAATGTGCATTATGTAGATCCAAGTGCATACTCAAGGGTTTTAAATTAGCACACATGTGGGTCCTCTCTTCTTTATGCTTAGGACCAACCTTGTCATTACTCTTTATTATGTGATACTCAATTGTTTTTAGAAACTAAAAAGCCACGAACATAGTTGGAAATGGATGGCTGCAAGAAGGCTTTGGAAATTGTGTTACTCTACTCATTTTCATTCTTGTGTTCCAAAACAGTTATTTTTTTATTTTCAAATATTAAAGTTATAAAATCTTATCAAATCCCAGCGGAAACGAAAAGTACTAGGTGATTTCTTCCCATATGTCCATCCGTTGGTGGATAGAGTTAATTGGTACCTGATGTTAGAGGGAGGTAGCAGGTATCCCGTGGAGTTAGTCAAGGTGCGCGCAAGCTGCAGGGACATCATGGTTATCAAAAAAAAAAAAAAATTAAAAATTATAAAATCTTATCTTGATGTTTTTCTTAATGATTCTGCTATGTAACCAAAAATTTAATATTAATAACACATCAAAATTAGTTTAACAAGTGCCTCCATTTTCCTTTGTATATTATAAGTAAGAATATCTAATTGAGTTTATTTCCATCCGGAATTGCAGATCTCACCAAATAATTTTCATAGAAAGCTTTTCAATATATTTAACTGCTTGTGACATTCCTTGTAGTATCCTAATCTACTTAGGGCTTAGTTCAAGCTAACCCAATTCTTATATGAAAAGGGAAACACTTCTCCAACCTGGTTCATCATATGGTCCAGCTCATACGAACTATTTTGCTCAATTAGTAATAATCAAAATAAAATTACTAAGACTATATTCTTAAAACAATTTAACAAGTACACTTTGTTTGTTGATCATCAAAATAGCACATGTATCAACATGTACACTACAACAACAACGACAACGACGACCCAGTATAATCCCACAAGTGGGGTCTGGGGAGGGTAGTGTGTACGCAGACCTTACCTCTACCCCAATGGGGTAGAGAGGCTGTTTCTGAAGACCCTCGGTTCAAGAAGACGAAAAGACGAAAAGAGACAATATATCAGTACCATCAACATGTACACTACGACAACAAATTTTGTTGCTTCTTTAACGAAGATCAAATTAAGACGCTTAAATGGGAGGCACAAAATGTGCTTTTTTCGTTTTTGTAATTTAATTTGTGATGGAAAAAGTAGGAAGGAAGCAATGGAACTCGAACTTGGACATTTTCAGAAATATACTCCCACCAATGACTTTGAATGAGGTTTTCGTGGCCACAGATCATGAGAAAATATGATTACGGAAGGTTCTTTTGTCAACTTTGTGATTAAGTTATTTGCCTCCCATCTCTCTTTCATGTTTACTTCTTCCTCTACCATTGGAAAAGTATATTAGAGGTTGTAGGATTTTACATGGATATTGTATCAGTTGAATTTGACCTGCACGCACTATATTAATTTTCATGTGGATATGCTATTGATTTTACTTGATTGACCTTTGTGCATTTACCTTTTTGGTTGTATGTTTCAAGAACCGAGTTTCAAACATGATACCTTTTTTTTGTATGTTGTTCAGTACGAACAATTTATTTAGTGAAATACCTTTATCGTGCCAAGAAAAAAGAAAGAAGGAAGCAAACAAGAAAGGGGAGTAGAAGAAAAAAGATACGACATTTTCTTTAGCATCATCACTAAGTCATTAATCATTGGCACTAAAAAGTTTGCAAGAACATGTTTCTTCCTGATGACTTATTTACTGGTGGTAACTACAAGGGGGAGGAAGTATTCAACAATAATAAGTATTATATGAGCTTTCTTAAGGGAAAGCTTATTGAACAGGCAACAGTTTCATAAGGGAAAGTTTTATTGGTCACTTAAAATTCTTGAACTTTAATATCCAAAAATAATTAACGCAATTGATTTGGAATACATGAATAAAAAGGAGTAGATGGACAAGGTTGCTCCCTTTCGTGGCTTTTTTAGTTTCTGAAAATAATTGAGTATCAATCAATAAAGAGTGATGACAAGGTTGAGGAATGGAGGATCCACATATGTGCCAATTTAAACCCCAAAATGTATGGCACAGAGAAGAACAATAATGCATTATTTATATGTGCTATATGCATCCATGTCCCTAGTAATGGACGTTAACTTTGAGTACGCACTTGGATCGATATAACACATATTTTCTATGCGCTATAAGGAACATAGTTATTTAATTTTTTTATATTGTAATATGGTCCTTTTGCCAATTTTCCACATTACGTTGGTTCCGGACTTTCAAAAAAATTATGCTAGATATGTTTCCGCATCGAAAATCTTGCTCTGGAAGGATGCCAATGTGTGGGAAAGACCTTTGAAGGATAATAGTATATTCAATACTAGTAGTTCATAAACATGTGACAGACTTGCGAGCTTAAATTTCAGGAGCTGAATACAGCAGATTCAAATGAAAATATCATTTTTGTTTCAGCTAGTTTGAGGGCTAAACCTAGCGTCAATTAAGTTTTCTACAAGCATATTTGCATGATTCAAAGTCATTAAAATATGAAGATTCTTAAGCAACAAACCATATTCCTAGTAACATCACTTGTATCTACTTGTAACATCTGGATGACTGTTACCAACTGTCTGTGATTTTAATCCAGGTTCCACCCTACTTGCATAGACATGACGCCTGAGGAAGCCAAGAGACTTGACCACTTCTTTTGCCAAAATTGCTCCTCTGAAGATCAGAAGAAATTGCAAAATTCTCATGCTACTTCAAGACTTTCAGATACAAAGGTGAGCCGATTGCTAGATTAGCACATCCACCCTGGTTACATTTCTGTATCCATCTTTCCACGGTTTGTTACATATGACGGTATGGTAGGAGCTTTGGTATGTTACCCTGTCATTTCTTGCAACATATTAGTAATGCCAAAGAAAAGTAAATACCAAATGTCATTAGGAAAAACAAAAGGGGGGGGTGGGGGAGGGGAGGAGAGGA